TTTTTTTTTTTAGCTGGCCCGGGCTGGGTTCGAACCTCCCAACCTCAGTGTATATGGCTGGTGCCTCACCCATTTTTTTTTTTTTATTCTTAAGTATTTTTCTATTTTTGAGTCGTTCTCAAATGTTAGCATCCATCAGAATCACTTATAGAGGTCCTTCCAGTTTGATTCAGTAGGTCTGGTGTAAAGCCTGATAATTTGTTCTAGTAGGTTCCCAGGTGATGCTAATACTGCTGGTTGAACTCACACCTTAAGAACCACATCCATGTTTCTTAGTGTGAGACATGGACCAGGAGCAATGGCATCACCCAGCAATTTGTTAGAAATGTAGACTCTCCAGCCCAACTTAGACCCACTGAACAGAATCTGAAGTTTAGCAAGATCCTGAGGTGACTTAAATGTAAAGCTTTTAATAAGCACAGTTTATACAATCAGGCAAGATTTGGCCCTTGCCTTCTCCAACCTCATCTCCTACCACTGACTGCTCTCATGCATTATATTCAAGCCACACTGGCTTTGTGTTTTAGAAATTATTAACTTTGTTTGACTGTTTCCTTTACTTGAAACGCTTTCTGTTGACCTTAAGATGGCTACCTAATTACACATGAATGTTAACTGTCCCTCTTCAAAGAAGCTGTAAATGTAAATAACACTCCAGTTGAGTGGTAACCCCTCTTCACCCAGTCATGCTATCCATTGCCCTGTTTTCTCCACATCACATATTGTTTGATATTATTTTCATGTTTATTTTGTTATAAAAGGTCAACTTCATTGTCTGTTGCTATATCCTGATCTCAAATTATTTTTATCAATAAATAACTGATAAAAATAATTTGAAAACCACTTAGTATTTTCTCATTAAATATTATCATAGCTCATATTACATTAATCACTGTTTGGAAAATAGTACTTGTTCAAAACTAAGAATCTCAGTTGCTTTTAAAAACATTTTAACCCAAAAATAAATTCCAGATTAATTTCTATACGTTCATTACTTCATACTTTCTTTTTATAAAACTTAAAATGGAAAAACTAATTTCCTCAATTTACAGGTTCTTCCAGCACCCAAATTGAAGATGACTAATAATCATATTTACAGCAACAATGGCTATGGAGTAAGCATTCTCCAACCAACAGAACAGTATTTTATTGTAGCAGAAGATGCTTTGAACAAAGGGGCTGCTTCAGGAGATAAAAAAGATGATACAGTGCTCTCCAAAGTAATGCAAAATCTAAATCTGGAAATGAATAATAATAAGATAGAAGCAAATTTAAAGGGGGATATTAGAATAGTCACAAGTTAAAGCATTTGGATTAATGTTAAAGTTTTATTTCAGAAATAGTTCTCATGGCCCACTAAAATGGTAGTTTAAATTGAAAGATTAAAAAATATTTAAACATTTTAATGCTTTCATTGAATGATTTTCCCCTTCCACCTATCTTTACTTTCCCCTATACAAGACTAAATATATGTATTATTTATTGCATTAGTTTTCTACTGCTGTCATAACAAATGACCACTAGTGGCTTAACATGAATTTATTAGCTTCAAGTTCTGTAGGTCAAAGTCTGACATGTGTCTCACTAAAACCAAGATGTCAAGAGGTCTGCATCTATTTATTTTTATTGTTTGGGATTTATTGAGGGTATAAAGAATTAGGTTTCACTGACTGCATTGGTTAAAGTCCCTCTTATACTTGTGTCCCACCCCCAAGAGGTGTGCCAGTGTCTTCCATCCCTCTCTCCCCCCATTCCCCTACCCTTATATTAGCTCTTCTATTGCCTTCATATTAGAATTGAGTACATTGGATTCTTACTTTTCTTTATGGATGCTCTAGGATTTATTTTTTCACTCATTAGAGTTGACAGAACTCAGCTCTTTATAGCTGTAGGACTGAGATCCATTTTTGTGTTGGTTGTCTGCTGAGGGTCCCAGTTTCTACCAGCTTGTATTCCTGGCTCATAGCCTCCTTCATCTTCAAACCTAGCAAGTATGACCTACTAGCCTGTCTCCTTTGAATCTCTCCTGCCTCTTGTGTCTCATCCCTTTGACCCACTTTTGCCTTTCCCACTTTTAAGGATTCATGTGATGAGACTGAGCCCACTTGGATTATCCAGAATAATCTTCCCATCTAAAAGTCCTTTCCTTTTTTTTTTTGCAGTTTTCGTAATTTGATATTTTGCAGATTTTGTGGTTATGTAAGACGAACATTTATTTTACCAATAAAATTTTGAAGCCATTGGCAGATATCAGGATCCTAGTGTAATTTGGGAAACTTTAGAACTACTAATACCAAAAAAAAATTATTTAGATCAACAGGTTAATGTAATCCTACTGTGCTTATTTTATTGATAGTCACCACTATAACAAGTGAGAATATGCTTCCTACTTTAGAGCTGTAAAAATTTTAATCATTCAATATTACGATAATTAGTGAAGTACGAACACCCACAAGCATATTATACTCTTAACATGATTAACATGAAAAATATTTTGCAGGTATAACAGTTGAGACACATTGAACACTGAATTATGCAGTCAAATCTTTTGTGACTTTTATCTTAAATGTCTAGGTTTGCAAGAAATAGGGAATTTCAAAGACTGAAAATTCCTAAAAATGCTTCCATTTAAAATAAATACTAGAGTGACTAAACCCATTCCAGTTTACCTGACTTTCCCAGTTGTTAGCAAACCAGTCTTGGGAAAACTAGGACAAGTTGGTGACTCTAATCAGTTCCCAAGAAGTACAGATTGATTCACACATTTTCTTAAAAGCTAAGACACTATCATAAAATTCAGGTGATCTTTTAAAGATTCAATAGCACATTCTCCCCACATGGTCCAGAAGTTTTTTCTTTCCCCTTGACACAGGAACTGTGCTCTGTGGCATAGGCTAGGCTAGATTAAGTGGTGTCATCATAGCTCACTATACCCTCAAACTTCTGGGCTCCAGTGATCCCCTCCCCCTCCTTTCTGCCTCTCCAAGTGCTAGAATTACTGGCGTGAACCATGCTTGATCTAGCAATCTTTTCATATTACATGAAATAGGACAATCAACAAATATCAAGGGTAAACAAATACAACTTTTAAAAACTTTCATTCCTGACTTCTGGACAGTTATATTCACACCTAAACATTTTAGGTAAATATTGTGTAATTTAGGAACTATTTTCTCAGTCACAACCAAAATTCATGTCAGTTCTAATCCTATTAGAAATTTCATTTTTTTAAAAAAACTATTCTCCTGTCCCAATTCTGTTTCCAGATTCAGAGGGAGGGAAATTGCCATTTAAGTAAGTGCTTGGCAACAGTAATGTCTTCTTTCTAGTTATCTGAATTGACCCTAAGATGGCACAACTACTGATGTTCTCCTGATGTTATGAGATAGGTGATGTCCAGGGAGTTGGGAGTGCAGCTTCACAGTATGGGAGATCCCAACATATTGCTCAAGGACAAAGTACCCACACATTCCCTTCACACAGAATATTTTGCAACATGGCTCCCTGGAACTGACCAAGAGCCTTTTTTCCAGTTAACTTTTGAACATCTCTTTGGGACCAAATTAGATTTATAATTCTCTTTCACACCATTCTCAGCTGGGTTGTCACTGCCAAAACCCTTCAAGCCTGAAAATATAGTAAAGATGCCAACTATGCAAGCTGCCAACCAGAGCGCAAATCAGGGCTGCTTTCATTGCTGTATGAACTGGAAGGATAGATCTAACTGTCAGTGCCAACCCACTATGACCCCAAGCTCCAGGATGTGTGTGGTGGAAGCAGAAACACTGCACTTTCCCACTTATTTCCCCCCTAAATTCTCTCCCTATTTCCAGCACCTTTCATTTTCTGAATGGGAGGAGTGTAATCAACTCTTGTTTTGGAAGAACATTCCAGTCACCTGACAACTGTCACAACATCCTCTACCTTGAATGTCTTTTTTCTACACAGACAGTAAGGGGATGAATGATCAAGAAAGGAAACACTACACTGGTTGATGCCTCAAGGTATTAAAGACAATAGACATGCTAATGTACATAAATGTGTTAAAAATGTGCCCTCTCTGTCCTCAAATTCTAAACTTTATGCATTGGTGAAGCTTCACTTACCTTTATTCTTCATCTAAATATTTTTTGAATTTTGTAAATTGATTATATTTTTATGCTGGAAACTAATTTTTATATTGGAAACTAAAAAAGTGTTAACCTTGGTCTTAAGACTTCTCAAAGACAATGCTTGGAAGAAAGTAAAAATGTTCAGCCTTAGCGCAATATTTACTAAAGAAAAAATACAAACTGTGGTATTTTTATAATAGATTGTTATATTTTACATAATATAAACAAAACACTACGGCAGCTACACACTTAGTTTCCTTAAACTACAATGAACCACAGAAAGGGTAGAAAATGGATTTACTTTCCAGGTGGCAAATAAACAACTTGGGAAAACAAATCGCATGCTTTTATTTTTTTTAACGCCTACGCATAAGCATTGACATAACCAAGCTTTAATAACCACCACCTCCTCTTCCAGGTCCAAAGTAGCCACCTCCAAAGTTTCCCCTGCCAGCTCCCCGCTGGAATCCCCCAGATCCTCTGTAGCCTCCACTAGACCCTCTATAGTCTCCTCCAGAGTTGCCTCTAAAGCCACCTCGTGAACCTCCTCTATATCCTCCACCAGCACCCCCTCCGAATCCTCCGCGAAAGGAGTTGGAGCTGCCGCCATAGCCCCCACTGCCATAGCCCCCGCCACCATAGCCCCCACTGCCATAGCCTCCACCACCATATCCAGAACCTCTTCTATATCCACTTCCATTGTCATATCGGGACATCTTGGGAGGACGTGGACCATCTCCATACCTAGGAAAAGCACAAAACCAGCACTTTAGCAAAGCATTCTTAATACTTCTCAGCTACTCACCAAATGTACACATTTAGTCATATTTGAAAATTTAATTCACAAAAATAATAAAGTCAAACACACTAGCACAAACTGAAATTAATCTGCTGTTCTAAAAGTCATCAACTGTAACCATTCAGTTTTCTGAAGTTCTTTCTGATTTAATTTCAAGGGCTCTGCGTTTTGGCAGTATGTCCTCATAATTTCAAGATAATCCTTTTTTATTCAGTTCTACAATTTAGTGTTCTAAGACAGCAGGAATTAAATAGTATGCCAGGAAGAGATTCCTAGAAATGGCAATAAACTATTGGGTCTTTATTAGTAAATGTTTTACTGCATTAACTCTGAATTATGTTTCTGTAAGATGTCTGTTAATCTGTTCAGGCTTCAATTTGTCATGTGGCAAACAGAAAATAAGAGCTAATGAAAAACTACAGTTATCAAGATGTCCCACCAATAACTAACTCAATATACACACCTCCCACTCCCAAACTGCTTATTCCTTCTGTGCAACTGTAGAGGGTAGCACTACTAATTCAGTGCTACCAGATCAGAAATAGGCAATCTGTCTTCCTCCCTTCACTGCACTGCTCCCCCATTTTCATGTCCACCACTAATTCCTACTGCAAGCTTATCAATTAGTAACTTCTCCCCATTTCAATTCTCACCACTGTGTTTTGGGCCACCATCATATTCACACATCCTGAACTCTTATATTTATCCTACCCTTTCTAGTTTTCCAGACTTCTGCTCCTCAGAGATTACATGTAAAGCCTCCTTGTTGGCTCAGCACCTGTGGCTCAAGTGGCTAAGGCACCAGCCACATACACCTAAGGTGGTGGGTTTGAATCCAGCCTGGGCCAACCAAACAACAATGACGGCTGCAACAAAAAATAGCCAGGCGTTGTGGCGGGTGCCTGTAGTTCCAGTTACTTGGGAGGCTGATGCAGGAGACTCACTTGAGCCCAGAAGTTGGAGGTTGCTGTGAGCTGTGATGCTAGAGCACTCTACCCTTGGGGAGGCTGATGCAGGAGACTCGCTTGAGCCCTGAAGTTGGAGGTTGCTGTGAGCTGTGATGCTACAAGCACTCTACCCTGGAGGACAGCTTGAGGCTCTGTCTCAAAAAAAAAAAAAAAACCCCCTCCTTGCTCACCCCCCTCTCCTGCCTCTCTCCTTCTAAACATACACGAGCATCTTCATTTGTACCTGCCCATGAAACTTATTTTTTCTTTAAACATTCCTTTTCTCAAAAATTCTTCTGTACATCTGACTGGCTGGGAAGACCACCGTATGGCACAAGAACACTATTTCAAAAGTCATGCTGCCTGGGTTTGAATCCAGCTCCAGTTACTAGTTGACTGACATTGGAGCTTATTTGTGCCCAGTTTCCCTTTTCATATTAAAAGGT